ACATTACCAAATTTTAACACACATTACAAAACCATATTTTATTTTTATCAAAATTGTTACCAACGTACTTTGGTAAAAATTACCGATCTTTTTGGTGCTCCTAGAGAGTCAGAAACATGGCAAATTTTACCATATTCTGGTAGTTATGACCAAATTTTTTTCTTTATGTATTTATAATAATGAGTCTTATAATAATGAAAATTTAAAAATTTTGATAACTTTAAATATTCTGAATGTGATATATGATAAAATAGAGATATCACCTTTTAAAATTTATTACTTATCTTACTTTAATACTTGGAGCCATGCTTGAACATTTTTTTTAATAAAATACATGAATTGAAATATTATCTCAATTTTATTTTTTTGTTTTATAAACATTAAGGTGACCTACTTTACTTCAATTTTTAATTTCATTCCAAAATTTGTTTTCTCTATTTCCATTTTCTCAAAATGTTTGTCAGGGAAAGGATAAATGAACAGTTAGCTTGTGCAGAATCGTTTTTAAAGGAGAACGAAAAAAAAAAAGTTATTATATCGAAATTTTGCTCATTTTTATGCTATAAATATAAATATATTATCTCCGAAATTTGTTTTAGAAAAGTTGTTATCGAAATTCTCACCAATAATTTTTTTTTCTAATTCTTTTAAGTTTTTTTTAAAACGAATTTTAATACATTATTTATATTTTAAAAAAAATAGGTACATGGAGCATACTTAAAATGGTATCGGGTTTATTAACATTTTCATGCATAAGCACTAAAAACGACGTTTTTTTCTGTTATATCTTGTTTTATAAAAAAGCTGTTCAAATATTGCACAAATATCTAACGGGGAAGGGAAAGACTTGTGATTTGCTTATTCTTGTTAGCAAAGGGGAGGAAGAGAATGAGCAATGCTTACGCAAGATATTAAAATCCCTTTACATTTTAATTTTTAAAATTCAAAAAAAAGAAGTGTAAAAAAATTTTATGTTTGGAATTAAATATAAATTTGAGGAAAGGAGAAGTAGGAAAAAGTTTTCATCTGATATTTTCGGAGGTCAAGGATTATGTCCACAGAAGGAAAAGACAAAAGACAAAGATTCCTAGGGATCCTTATTCAGAATTCTATGGAATAAATAAAAGCATAAATTTTGTTTTATCCAAAGTTATATTTTTTTGTAATTAATTCAAAGTACTAAATCGCTACTATGAAAGCAAAAAACAAGTAGGGGTTGCGACTTTATTAACTAAGCATGAAAGGAGTTTTGAGGTTTGTTTCTTTTACTGACAAAGGGAAGAGATTACCAAATTACCCAACATATGCTTATGTAATATTTGAATGGCCCCTGTTCAAATTTAATTCTTTAAAAAAAGGTCAACACAAGAGTTAAGAATGGTATTCCACGTATGAGATTAAATTTCTCCTTTTATATAATACTTTACTGTTGTTGGATCATAAACACACTTGCTTTTATTCAGATAAAGCTATTACAATATTCCCACTAACAAATTTTCCCACCAATAAGCAATAAAGAAGATAAGTAAGCTCCTTCAATAAGAGAGCAATTCACCATTGTTAAAGAGCAAGTTCCATAGACGGAATTTACTGGGCGGCCTGATTTCATTCCGTTTTTATTATCTTTGCTGGTGTAAGAAAAAAAATTCCTCAAAGTAATCCGCTTCTGCAACCAATTAATAAATCATTTTGGTGGCTACAAGCCGCTGAAGTAGTTGAGATTTATTTTTCTTTTTTTAATTGAGTAGGGTTAAGAGAAAATAAAACCTGAATATGTACCACTTGACTTTAAAACTCAAGGCGTTTCCGGAGAAAATTAATCTCCTCATCTGACTTAGTTTGATAGACTATGATAGGGCAGTGTGTTTATTTCTCTTGGAGTTTTATTATTTTTTTTTTATAAAGATTATTCTAAGATAATTAGTTGGAAGAAAAATATGGTTCCAGAATAATCCTTCTGAAAAGATCAATATCTACTCTAATAACTAATAAAGCATCTAAATTAACAAATTATGCAAATTTAACTTTTTTTAAATTTAAATTGAGGTATGGGTTTAATAAAATTTCCAAATGTTATAAATTTTTTCTTAAAAATCATTCTGAAGATGCATGAAACATTACTCCATCTTAGGCTGTTACTGGCTGTAGATTTTTTATGAAGAGTAATCTGATATGTAACTATCAAAAGGAGTAAAATATCTAAGAATAATTTCTAAATATTATGAATCATATCAGAGTAACAGTACAATAGTGCATATATATATATATATATATATANTATCCCTCTAATTTATTGAATAACATTGATATCGAATTTAATTGCTTTGCTTAATTCTTATACTCACTATAAAATGAAAACTGAATAGTTTTCACTTGATATTTATTTAATTAAATTAATGTTCATCGAATTAAATTAATATTTAATTTTTTTCTTGTGGATTATTAAAATTACATCATAAAATTTTAAAATCTAAAATTTATTAGTGGTGCCATCTATTATTATAAATTAAAACTAAAAGATCTGCATTATGTCTACCTATTTAAAACTTATTTTTAATGTTTTTTCTTTACTTGTTAAATGTTTTATAATACCGAAAAAGTATTAATTGACATCTAAGGAATCAAGCAATTGTCTTTTAAGATGCTCATTTTATTAATTTTTTATTGCATAATTTCCTTCAAAATAAAAAGTAATGATTATGATTTGTGATTATATATATATATATATATATATATAATCATAAGGATTAAGAATTTCCTACGAAAACCATGACCGGAAATGTCACCTTACGCATCTAGGGGCGCTTTTCCATAATGAACATGTTGTTGTGTGCCTTAGAACTTACACTTTCATTTTTCTAAAATATTTTAATTTCATGTTTACTTTATGCTACTATTTTATAGCCGTCGTTGAACAGCCGACCCAATTTTGGGTTTACGACTACAAATGTTCAACTCCGTACTAATGTTCAACTATGTTACTATAAGCTATTGTTGAGGGTTTCTTTAAAATAATCTTAGAAATGCTGTTTTATCGTAATTTAATGATTAGACGACCTTGTCCAGTTCGTCGCCAAAAAGATAATTTAGGTAAGTAAAAGTACCTGATTTTCCAAAGGGATGTGTACCTGGTGTTCTTATGATGTTATCCTAATGATTGGAAGAATTGACTTTAAAGATTCAGCTTAATTAGCACCTGCGGGATTTTAAGTGGCCTATCAGTTATAAATATGCATTTTCTTAAAATACGCCTACTTTTTTTTCTTTTTATACCTGATTTAGTGTCCTGTCTCTAAAAATCGGAAGGAAAAACTGGAAAAATCAGTTTTGTATAGTTGGAAGAGCGGTTGATCGCTCTCTGTAATGGAATAATTATATAATTTTTATTACTAAGTTCAAACTTTCAACGAAATTAAGTGAGTAGTAAAATATTAAGTAGCATCTTTACATTTACATTTCTCGGAATTATTCGGTCAATTCAGTTCCAATATTGAACTTCGTAATTTAAAATAACAATTATTAAAATGAGGTTAAAACTTTTCTCACACTTAAAATAGTTTTATCACATTCAAATTAAAGTTGGAGCAATTATTCAAAAATATTTTCTTACTTGCAATTATTTGTGAGTAAATGGGTTTTATGAAAGACATTTCTTGATACGCGTAAATAGATCTATACACTGAGAAAAAAAGTAAAACTGCCTGAATCATCTTCTTTCTGGCTCTATGGGAACAACAAAAAGCTCGGTAATTTTTACAGAGGCGCTTTGGTAAAAATATGGTTTTATAATATGTGAAAAAATTTCGTAAAAGTGGTGAAATTGGCAATTTTATCATGATCCCTTAAAACGAAAACTATTATTTATTCGGTTTCAACCATATTTTTTAAGATTTCAACTACTATATTTTGAGAATCATTAAAAGTTAAATAAAAAATAGTGTTTAATCAGAGAAAGTACGTTTTGTGTTTGATTCCGTAACTTATAACTGAAAAATTATTAACTGAATTAACTGAAAAATAATAATAAAATTAAAATGTGTTGATTAATTGATCAGCATATTTCAATTCTAACCCTCAATCCATTAAGTATTAGTAATATTGCATTAGATGTGCAAGAAGATCAGAAAAAAACTCCTGAGAGAAAAATTCAAGCAAGCGCTGTTTTGTTGTTGTTATGTGCTAATTCTGATTCTTTAGATATTTAATAAGCTCATAACAAACAAGTTTTATTGAACTATTACAAGTTTAAAAAACATTGTACATTTATAATGACTATTCATGCAATTAAGATTATGAATAAGCTGAAAACTTAATTAAAAATAAAAGTAAAAATAGTGAAGAAGAAAAATTGCTATAATATGATAAAATTCCTGCAACGTCTTTTTTCAATTCATTTTTTAAAATAAAAAAAATGCATGCTAAATTAAATTTTTTATTTGGCTTCAAATATCGATTAAAAAACTTTTTATCGTTTATTTTAAGCAATTGCACTCAGTTTCAAATTAAATTGCAACTTATAAATTTGTTGTTTTCTAAGTTTAATTTACAATGAAATTTAAAATTTATATATANATATATATATATATGTAACGAGAGAGAGAGAGGGGGGATAGATATAGATGGTTAAGTATCCCTTATTAATTAAAAATTTAGTTTTTGATAAAATTATCAAGTGTCTTTTTTTTTCTCGAAAAAATTTTAACTCGGAAACGTTATTTACGAGATGCGTAAAATTAAAAAAAGAAGATAGTTTTAAATAATCTGAAAGCAAATTTAATGCATGAATATAATTATTCAAACCAAATGACAATGATAAATCTAATAATAATTTATGACATTAAAAAATGTAAACGGGCAAATTATTTAAAATAAATTTGAAACTAAAAGAGAATTTTTATCATTATATTTGTATGCAATCATGTAAACTCCTAAGAAACTTAAAATTCTTTTATCATCAATTATTTTGTACGTGACAGAAATAATACGTAGTAAAATCTTACCTTCCAGCTTTTGTAACAATCATCTCCGTTCCCAACTCGTTAAATTCATCCCACAAAGATTTTGTCTCTAATGTGCCATTGATATTCACCAATTTTGGGTGTAGAGGTTTCTTTATTTCTTGTCCTCCGCATTCTCCATTTTCCACACCATCCAATTCCGAGGATGAATCGGATGGACTCTTGTTGGAGAGTTCATCACTGTCTTTGAGATCGCAATCCGCAAGGTAAGATCCATACGTACTCCGATATGTTTCCACCAGACTAGGCCGTTCCTTGGCGGCTGAGAGTAGACAAGCTATGGAAAGTAGAAACCAGCATTATATCCAAGGAAAAAATATTCGAGAGTAATTTCACTATTCGATTTATTTTTGGGGAGTGAATTTCAAAATAAAGGGGTGTATTTCTAAACAGATATTTTTTAAATTGTATCCATTTTATAACAAAGATTCTATTATAGCTATCAGATAAATAATACAAACTTAAAGTAATAGAATCTTCGCTTGAATATTTAACCAAAAACATTATTTCTATCTTAATAATTAGATTGAAGTTTCTAAAAAATCAAAATTTATGAAAAATTAAGAAATAAAAGAAGAAATTAAAATATAACATTATATAATATAAATAATATGTTATATAATATAAATATTTTATAATACATAAGAAATTTTAAAAAAAATTTATGGTTTTTTTCTACCATTAAACAGCATGTTTGAATTTCATGTCACACACTGTAAAAAATTTCAAATGAAATTGCGGTATGAAGTAACGGCACTTTGGGTACATTAGCCGTAAAATCCATTTTACCGTTAAATATTAAAACGTAATTTTCACAGTAATATTTATTTAATTAGAGAAAATAAGAGATCAAATAGTCAAAAATTTCTAGATCATACTGCTGTATAAATTACCGGCAATTTAGGTGTACTATCCGTAAAATCCATTTTTCCATGAAATCCATTTTTACCGTAAAATCCATTTTTATCTGAAAATATTATACAGTAATTTTTACAGTAATATTTATTTAATTAGTGTGATTCAGTGGTTTTACTGTAAATATTACAGTAAAAATTACTGCGTACCAAATTTTTGTTCCACATCATGTTCCGGTAAAAATGGATTTTGGGGTAAAAAGTGCCGGCTCCCTGAGTACCGTTGTTTTTTTCCGGAATTTGATCCGGAATATTTTACTGTGCTATTGGTACTTTTACTGGTAACAAGAAAAAGGAGCCCTTCCCAAAACAATCTGGAAAGGTCATCCAATTACTCCAAAACTGCATTTTTAGATTTTAATCAATTTTGAGTTCTAAAATATCTTTTAAAAGCAGCTGCTGTATTAGAATAATAGCAATTAATTTCCTAAGTTCAAAATATATGAAAAGATCATACCTTTACTACGCTCTTTGCCTGATTTTCTAAGGAACTTATTCTTATTTAACAACAGGAAGAAAAAAAACTAATAATTTTAGCAAAAGTTTTGTTTATATCACTGCAAGAAAATTTTCGAGAAGTGAAACTCAAATACGATGCATGAAATACGAGTCTGTATGTGTTATGGCGGACTATGGTAGAAACATAATGACATTCGAATTACTATTAATCACAAAAAAGAGTAATAATATCTGTTGGGCCGGAATAGCATGGTTAGTAGGGCACTGGACCCATGTCCAAGAGGTCGTGGATTCGATCCCCGACTGCCCAAGATTCCTCGAGTAGTAAATGGTGACTGATGATCGTTAAATCTGTCGAGTCACAAAGTCCTCCATGTTTCCATAACAAATCAATACCTTTGGGGGTACTGATCCAGGAGTTTTCTTGTCTTCTGAATTGGTTCAAAATTACAAGGCTTAGGCTATGAAGTTGAACATAAGTAATCGTAAAACCAAAAATGGGGTCGGCTGTTCAATGCCGGTTATAAAATAAAATCATATGTTTTAATTAGAGAGATCAATTACAAATCAAATAAATAAATGGTACTTATTAAATTCTGAAATAATTGGAAAATGTCGTTAACGGGAAATATTTCTTTTTTATTCAATTTCCTATTTAAAATGAATAACATTATTGTATTAATGAGATCAGTTACAAATCTCTTATTAATTCCTTTATTTAATTCTGGAATATTTTTAAAAAGTACCTAGGGGGAGATATTTATTTTCGATTTAATTTCCAGTATGAAAAGAATGATTGTAAATTTATTTGAGAGATCAAAATGATTAACTATAATAATCTCAGTAATAAATGATATCTATTTAATTTTGTTACATTAAGAAAATACATTTAAAGGGAGACTTTTATTACTGATTCAATTTCTAAATTAAAAAGAATAATTGCGTAAATTAGTTACAGATATAAATAATAAATCTTATTTATAACTGTTGTTCATTTAATTTTGAAAATTTGGAAAATGTAGTTAAAGGAGATGATGCGTGATTTTAAATTTGACGCGATTAATTTGAACTTGAATTTAATTTAAATTTGAGCAGAAAAATAATCATATAAATCGTGTTTATAAAATTCTCAAATGTATGAAAAATGTAGTTCAAAGGAAGTATTTATGTTTGATTCGTTTTCCAATTTTCTACGATTTTTCTTTTTAATACTTAGCTATAAGCGTCATGTTTTAAAAATTCCTTTTTAAAGAAAGGATTAAAAAGTAAATTAACTTCTTAATTACAAAATATTGGTTAACTTTTCAAAATATGCATCTCTGACTCTGTATTAACTGAAAAATAAAAATTTTTGCTTTCATTTAAAAAATCCACTTCGATTAATATAGAACGATATAAGGTTAAAAGATTAATTTATTTAATTAAGAATTGTTATTTTTTAATTAAGCTTAGAAATAATTAGATCGAGTAAACTTTATGAGTTTGCCCTTATTTGCTGAAAATTGTCGATTATTATACAATGAGATACCAAAACAAATTATTAAAAAAAAAGAAATTAAAAATGATTAAATAAAATGAACAAACATAAAATATTAAACTAGGGCAAACATTTCAAATAAAATTGTTAGTTTTAAATAATTTAAAAAAAAAAGAACTCTCCTGTTTTGAAATTATTTAAAAACATTTACTATTTCAAAAACTATTTTTATATTCATGCATTTGTAAATTTTTTCGGGAAATTAGTTTTATTACGATTTTCATATGTAAGCATAGTTGCTGAAAATGCTTTGAAAAACAATTAAATAATTTCTATCTTTAAAGTAATTAGTTTAAAATTATTCAAGTTTTTCTAGCATTTATTGCGAACGTTCTTAACCCTTTGCTTACGGTGTTCATGTTGTAGCATCACATGTGGTCCACATGTTGTACCAGCCGCAAAGCAAAAGGTTAATGCGATTTTTTTTCGGAAGAAAATCACTCATTTGTAATGATTTTCAAAGAATTTAATTAATATAAAACAGTTGTTCTAGATAGAATTAATCAGAAACAAGACTATAAATAAGTCACGAGGTCAGACTTTTGAGAAAATCAGTTTAGTATTGACTAAACAAGTTTTTAGTCATGGACAACTTTATGTTGGCCTGTCAAGAGTTAAGTCATTTGACAGCCTTTCAGTAATTGCTCCAAGATGCCAAATCTATAATTGTGTTTTCAAAGAAATTCTAAATGCTTAGTGTTAATTTCTTAGAGCTTTGCAGAAAAAAATGTTTTTTGGAAAAAATTTAATTGAAACTTCTATTGGCAGTAGGCAAGGGGAACTGCCAAAATCAAAACTCCCCGATTAGAAATGCAGCATGGCGACCTCCACGTGGTATTTCTCGGGTAATGCTAACAGCCATGCATTTTAATTTATTGTATGTAAAACATCCTTATTTTGTTCTAAAATGTTATGTACTTTATCACAAATGTTAATTAATATAGAAATTGATTTCAATAATGCTGATCACCAAAAAATATTTCATTTGGCGATAAAACAAATTTTTGTGTTCTTGAAAATGAAAGACTTTTTGAGGGTTATTATCTCACAAGGAAAAGTTAGGGTTTAAAGTTTATATTTTTAAATAATAAAATTTTTTTCTAAAACTTTCAGAATTTCTAGCATTAACTAATTTATTATACACATTTAGTTGAATTTAGGTGAGTAACTGCAATATTTGATAATTTATTTTGCTAATATGTTTCTCATTTAGCTAATGTTTTGATTTTTTCACCATGTACAATCTAAATAGCTAATATACTTTTTTAAAAGCCAATAAGAACATTGATAGAATTCTTCTACATAAGTACAATACTATGTCTTTGATGATAAAATACTATGTCTTTGATGATAATATATTATGTCTTTGTGCTAGAACATTGTGTTCATTGGCGAGCGAGCGCAGCGAGCCATGGTTCACGGCGTGAACCACATAGGATTGCGTAGCAATTCTCGGGGGTTGGCGAGCGTTAGCGAGCAGGGGGCGGAGTCTCCTATAGTGTCCAAAAACTAAGTTAATTTGAGTTTTTTTATCCCTAGACTTTTTCTCATTCGAGGTAGAAAATTTAGGGATATTTCACAACAGGAGATATAAATAATTTTATAATAATTTCCTTCAACACGAAAATATTAAAAATAAGATTTATTTAAAATAAAAAATAAAATTATGATTATTAGTTTTAATGGAAGAAAGAAGGGAAAATATTCAAGGTTCCTCTAAAATTTTACTTTGCTTTTGACCTTTTTTTTTGCCAAGTATTTGGTCCTGATAATATCTTTCTAATTTTATCATTTAATTATTTATTGAAAGATAATAAAATTTCACACAGAAATGCTTTTATCTCTAAAAGTCATTGGATTTCCTTCGTAGAATATTTACGTATACATATATTTGTAGAATATACATGTAGCATATACATATGTTAGTAGAATATACATATATTTTCAGAATATACATATATTTGTAGAATATAATTATAATACTTGATCAAGGTTGGAAGTACCTACCTTCCATTTCTTTCATAGTGTTTCCTGAATAACAATTCGTCGTGACCGGCGTCCAATCATAACAACATTCTATCGGACCCATGCTGCGTTGACCCACAGTAACCAGCTGTGGGATATACTCGTTTGTATGTTCCGACATTAAGGAATCGATGCTAAACGGATTATTACGACCCAACCCAACGCCGTTGACATCCATTCTAAGCATCAAGCATGGGATTCATCTTGGTGCTCCTACTATGAGGCGGAGCTTTTACGCTCCGCCCACTCTCAAAAGGTACCAGCCTTTCTCCACCTTTTATTATCGTAATTGGCTGAAATAGTAGCAGAAAGTGAAGTCGAAATACGATTGGTTTATTCTTCGCAGGTAAATCATGAAGAAGCTCGTGGCATTCCAAAAAGATTTAGTTTTAATGAGAACTTTTGGGATGAACTTACAGAGCATATTCAAAAACAATTTGTAAAAATTTCTTTGTCAACTTGTTCTAGATATTTAATGAATTTTACTCTAGATATATGGTATTTTAAATTGCCATGCTAAGCTGTATTATTAATTTGATTCATGGTTATGACAATTTGTTCTTTACTTTTTAAATTCGCGTTTTAGCAACAAAAAAAAAAAAATAATAATAATAAATAATTCCTTCTGGCACATGAACGCAATTTAACGAATCTATTGGATATTTAACTGTAGAACTAACAATAATTTTTTTAAAGAAAACAAGAGCTTTTCAAAATACTGGAAGATCTTTACGTTATTGTAAACAATTCTGGTATATGTGGCTATGTTAAATGCTTTTCTGGCTTTTTAAATTTTGTTACTGATAAATTTTATCTACAACATACTGATGATATAAGGAATAAAAAAAATATTTAATTATCAATTGTTAATAACTTCGAGATTAACAGTAATATTACTAACCCGATAACTTTAACTTACAAATATTCCGGAAATTGTAGGCCGAATAACATAAGCCATTTAACAAGGAGTTAACAGATTGAAACATTGAAAATTTAAAAATATTCGTATCAATCGTCATAAACATTCGAAAAGCCACAATCAAACTCTTTCTTTCATGTAAATCAGGAATAATTTTACGTACTTCGATTACTGAATTCTTAAAAAAAGAAATGAATGAAATTACTTTTATTAAATTATTAAATGAAGGAGAAACTGGAGACGAATATAACTTTTTTATTCTCAAATTTTAGAGAAAAATGTACACTCTCAGAAATAAAACTCTCAATTTTAGACGATTCAGCAATCCTTGAGCTTTATTTCGCTAATTTTGAGAATTATTTTCACACGATAATCACGTGATTTTGTGACGAAACGCGAACTCTCAAATATATGACGAAAATGTTTCCTCAATAACGGAATCTCATCGTAGCGCATTGTGGGTGATTGTTAACAAAAATGACGAAACTAGAATGAAGACTAGACAATCGGAAATTTAAAAAAAATGACTTATGCTGACCGACTGTATGGAGGTCAAGGAGTTGACCTGGTACCAGGGAGATTCCGGGTACGAATCCCATTTCGGGCAAGATTATAATTTATCTCTCTGTTCTGTATATCCGTCGTATGTTGTTGGGATGATATTGGTCCACCTATATGGTGCCCACAGTAAAGTTTCTATTAGAAAAGTTAGACACATTAGAAAAAGCGAGTTTGTTTATTTATTTATTTATTTATTTTTTTTTTTTTTGGAAAAGACAAAATGACGAAATATTTTTATTTTTTATTTTGACGAAATTCGTTTACTCGAAGGAGGGGCAATAATTTTATCACTGTGATGAAATCTTCATTCGGAGCATATACCAGAAAACAGTTTCGTTATAAACGAGGAAAGTTTCGTGAAATTTGAGTATTCATTTTAGACATTGTATGGCTTAAATGTTAGATTAAAATTATTTATTCCCGTGTTTCAATTCCTCAGACTGATAAACCTAACATGCTGGTAAGTTCATGCAGGTAAGTTCACTACAGTGGGGTAGGGGTTAAGGATTTATTTAACGAAATTTTAATTAACGTTAATTTAAAAAGAACGATACTCGCAGCGGATTTCAATTGAGTATGGTGATCGATCATCGATATGTGCATTTTAATAATGTCCGTCACATTATTATTAGTAATCTAAATAATACCACTAAAGTACAACTTTTTTCCCCTGTTGCATGAGAATTTTTTTTACCTAATCCTAGATACTTTCGTATCGCTTATTTCTAATCTTAGATCCTTTTGTATCTCTTATTTCAAATCTGTAATCGGTTTCTCTCTCCTGCTACATTTTTAGTCAATTTTTTGTCAAAATATATAAGTGTAAAAGTGTTATGTATAACAAGAAACCGCATAAATGTTGCTACAGATTGTTAGGGAAATTGTGCCACATCATCAGGGTTAAGACAGCACGCCTATTCCTGGAAATGTCGTCATGCGCCATTAGGTGCGCTTTTTATTATGAACTCATTATTATGAGTTCATCCCAATTGACATAAAGGAATCAAAATTGGATGTGTACTTCATAAAAATATTCTTTGTTTATTTTCAAAGCAATACAGGCAATCTATATTGCTCGCATTGTTAACAATAAAAAAATTTGAAAAATATATAGAAAGACACAAAAATTTCATACAATAAAATAAAAATAAAATCAGGTAAAATATTCACTGGCCAAAAAAAAAGTATATAAGTTGGAATAAAAATCAAGATACGCTGTTGTAGATAGTTATATTTTAGAAGTCCAGCAGTTGGTAGTCCAGCAGTTTTAGCATAATTTGTCGCTAAGCATTAGAGATAGAATAGCATATCAATATAAATTTTAGTTTTCAATGATACATCATTAGATTTCAATTTTATTTGTCTTGCTTCAGTTAATTTTCTGCATTCATCATCCAAATGTTGTTCATTTACTCAGAATTTGATTTATTCCAACACTAAGCAGCAAGTCTAAGGTATTCCTCTATCAGACACGAATGTACCGAAATATTGTTCCTTTGAATACTTGTTCTCACACAAAACGAGAATGTATGGAGATTTTGAAATTAATAACAAATTAATAATATCGATAAATAATTTTTTACAGAACTAAATTCATTAAAATATATTTAATGACAAAAATTTTAAAGATTATATGAACAATTCAAACACTTGAAATTTTAAAAAATTTTCTCCTTAGTTGTTTTTAAAAAATTCCGTTAAATGAACACAACTATTATAATTATGATAGCAACATTATTTTTTGAAGCCTTTTAGCGTTTCTGAAATGTGCTATAATTTGCGTTTAATTCTTTTAAAATTAAATTATTTGTCCATTTTTCAATGGGTTGGAGCAATATAAATGCGTGAAGCATTTCATTTTGCATAAATCTATTTGCGCATTGTAAGTTTGTAAATAAAGATTAATAATAAGATTAAAATGCTTTAAGAACGATTTAAATCGCCACCCAGATAAGTTGGGAAAGAAAGAAAACAAGCTATAATAGTGGAATTTACTTGCTTATAATTTATTTTTATTCATTTATTTATTTTCTGGCAAGTAAGCAATTTGTTTCTGTGAAAAAATTTTATAAAAATGCATATCATAAATAAGAAATGTAGTTTGTTAAAAATGTGCTGATTTAAAGGACTTTTTTCTCTAAATTATTGATGAAAAGCTTTAGCACTGACTGGTTATGCGTCCCAATCACTAAACACATGCGATTGATGCCTAGGCGTACATTGTTGGAAATTTCTCTGCAAAAATGATTAACTAGCAATTTAGTAATTGTGACTTTTCCATTTTTAACCAAAACAGTCAAATAACCATAAAAAAGATGACATTCAAACTGTAATGTGTAAGAAAAACGTTTGTTGATTGTTTTTACCTAATATAGTTTAACAACCACAATTCTTGTTTCACCAACTAGGCTCACCTTATGAAGCTATTAATTCTGTGCAGCTGGGTACATACTATAGCTGAGAGGGATGATCGGACAATCGCATGACAGGCTGAACAGAGGGTTTGAATCCTAACGTTCGCACCACAATATTTCTTCCATTTCTTCAATGCATGAAGAGTTTTTAATATTCCACTTTTCAAGTGATCCTTGATTACTGGTATGCAAAACTCACTCATAAATAGCTCAACATCCACAGAACTCTAATGTCCATTTAAGTTATACTTTTATGGTTTAGAAATTATGCAAATTGTAAACAGTTACAAAACCGTATAGTTTTGTATTCACAGTTTCTAAAAAGTACCAGTTGTTAATCATAAATCATAAAGGTAAAAACTGTTCATAACCATAAACATTATGGTTCATCAGTTGGACATACTGTTACCGGTTATTTTACCATAATTTCATGATCAAAATTCTAATAGTGTACGAAAGGCCATATGCGTAGATATCTACTAGTTAGTTTTACAAATTATGCAATTGTTTTATTAATTTGAGAGGTAATATTTCTTTCCTTTTGTTGCATATTTGATCGTAGCTGTACGGGTTTTGCATAAAATGTATGTTTAACATCAATGAATATTTATCAGAATTCGCAGTTTATGAATAATTTTTTTAATCGAGTAAAAAACCAAAAGTTGCTTGAGTATTATTAAAATTTTTTATTAAATTATTCGTAACATGAAGGAGGCATAAAATATATTGAGTCAAATAACTTGCTATTCAAAAATGTATTTGAAGAATTTTTTCAGAATAATTTTATAAGTTTTATTTCTTATTTTGTTCTTGTATGAATATAATATGCCAATATTTCGAGTTTCAAGTAGTTGACTTTTAATAACCGTCTTGATAGTAACATTTGAAAGCTAATTTAAGTTAAGGTATAACATTTCAAATGTAATTTAGCTTATATTTTGAAAATCAATTTTCATATATTTCAAATATTTTAATAACAAGAAACAATATATTTAAATCCGTTTTAAAAAATAAAGGAAAAGAAGGGAGTGTAATTTTTTTTAAAATATTAGCTTACTATAGATGTTACATGCTTTTTTATCGTAATTTTTTTTAATTTTCTATGTCATTTTATTAATTTTATATGACTTTCTATTCTCATTCATATGAATACCAGCTTTTATGTGAGCCTAAACCTCAGAATTAAAAATAATAG